TACCCAGTCATGAAGTAGGTGGTCAGTACCTCAGTCATGATAGTAGTGGTCAGTACCTCGTCATGATAGTGGTGGTCGTACCTCAGTCATGATAGTAGGGGTTCAGTAACCTCAGTCATGATAGTAGGGGGTTTCAGTACCTCAGTCATTGATAGAAAGGATGGTCGTACCTCAGTCATGATAGTAGGTGGTCAGTACCTCAGTCATGATAGTAGGTGGTCAGTACCTCAGTCATGATAGTAGGTGGTCAGTCCCTCAGTCATGATAGTAGGTGGTCAGTACCTCAGTCATGATAGTAGGTGGTCAGTACCTCAGTCAGATAGTGGGTGGTCAGTACCTCATCATGATAGGGGTGGTCAGTACCTCAGTCATGATAGTAGTGTGTCAGTACCTCAGTCATGATAGTAGGTGGTCATTCCCTAAAGTCATGATATAGGTGGTCTGTACCTCAGTCATGATAGTAGGTGGTCAGTACCTCAGTCATGATAGTAGGTGGTCAGTACCTCAGATTAATAAATCTAAATATTGTCTTATTGCAGACATCGGCCCAGAGAACGACCCAAGACGACCACGTCAAGCATTAAAGATGGGACGACCCACCAGGGCTTTAGGTGTCATTCCTACCACCTTGCTACGACTACTGGTCACAGCTCTCCTGAGGGAGGTAGGAGACGACCACTATGACCGCCTCCACGACCTGGCTCCAGAGTACGACTTCATCATAGGTGAGCTTTGATGCTGGTACGAAAGCTCTTCATCCAGGAACTGGAACGACCCATTACGACAGACAGGTTTTTAAAAAAAGCTCTTCGCTTTTATAAGTAGATAAAGCTCTACACAGAGTGAAACATGACTTGATAAAGCTCTACACAGAGTGAAACATGACTTGATAAAGCTCTACACAGAGTGAAACATGACTTGATAAAGCTCTACACAGAGTGAAACATAACTTGATAAAGCTCTACACAGAGTGAAACATAACTTGATAAAGCTCTACACAGAGTGAAACATGACTTGATAAAGCTCTACACAGAGTGAAACATGACTTGATAAAGCCTACACAGAGTAAAACATGACTTGAATGAAGCTTACACAGAGTGAAACAAACTTGATTAAAGCTTACACAGAGAAACATGACTTGATGAACTCTACAAAAGATGAAACATGAGTTGATAAAGCTCTACACAGAGTGAAAAATGACTTGATAAAGCTCTACACAGAGTGAAACATGACTTGATAAAGCTCTACACAGAGTGAAACATGACTTGATAAAGCTCTACACAGAGTGAAACATAACTTGATAACGCTCTACACAGAGTGAAACATGACTTGATAAAGCTCTACACAGAGTGAAACATAACTTGATAACGCTCTACACAGAGTGAAACATGACTTGATGGAGCTCTACACAGAGTGAAACATGACTTGATAAAGCTCTACACAGAAATGAAACATTTAAATTGATAACGCTCTACAAAAGAGTGAAAACATGAACTTGATGGAGCTCTACACAGAGTTTAAACAATGACTTGATAAAGCTCTACACAGAGTGAAACATGACTTGATGAAGCTCTACACAGAGTGAAACATGACTTGATAAAGCTCTACACAGAGTGAAACATAACTTGATAACCTTACACAGAGTGAAAACATAAATTTATAACGCTCTACACAGAGTGAAACAGACTTGATAAAGCTCACACAGAGTGAAACATAAATTGTAAGCTCCCACCAGAGTGAAACATGACTTGATAACTCAACACGAGTGAAACATGACTTTTAAAGCTCTACACAGAGTGAAACATGACTTGATAAAGCTCTACACACAGAGTGAAAAAATGATTGATAAAGCTCTACACAGAGTGAAACTATTTATAAAGCTCTACACAGAGTGAAACTGACTTGATGAAAGGCTCTTACACAGAGTGAAACATGACTTGATAAAGCTCTACACAGAGTGAAGATTGTGTCAAAGAACTGACTTGATGAAAACTCTACACAGAGTGAAACATGACTTGATAAAGCTCAACAGAGTGAAACATGACTTGAAAAGCTCTACACAGAGTGAAACATGACTTGATGAAGCTCTACACAGAGTGAAACATGACTTTATAAAGCTCTACACAGAGTGAAAAAATGACTTGATAAAGCTCTACACAGAGTGAAACATGACTTGATGAAGCTCTACCCAGAGTGAAACAAAGAAATTTATAAGCTCTACACAGAGTGAAACATGACTTGATGAAGCTCTACCAGAGATGAAACATGACTTGATAAAGCTCTACACAGAGTGAAACATGACTTGATAAAGCTCTACACAGAGTGAAACATGACTTGATAAAGGTCTACACAGAGTGAAACATGACTTTATAAAGCTCTAAAACAGAGTGAAACATGACTTTTATAAAGCTCTACAAAAGAGTGAAACATGACTTGATGAAGCTCTACACAGAGTGAAACATGACTTGATAAAGCTCTACACAGAGTGGGAAAATGACTTGATGAAGCTCTACACAGAGTGAAACATGACTTGATAAAGCTCTACACAGAGTGAAACATGACTTGATAAAGCTCTACACAGAGTGAAACATGACTTGATAAAGCTCTACACAGAGTGAAACATGACTTGATGAAGCTCTACACAGAGTGAAACATGACTTGATAAAGCTCTACACAGAGTGAAACATGACTTGATGAAGCTCTACACAAAAGTGAAACATGACTTATAAAACTCTACACAAGAGTGAAACATGACTTGATGAAGCTCTACACAGAGTGAAACAGACTTGATAAAGCCTAAAAAGAGTGAAAAATGACTTGATGAAGCTCTACACAGAGTGAAACATGACTTGATAAAGGTCTACACAGAGTGAAACATGACTTGATAAAGCTCTACACAGAGTGAAACATGACTTGATTAAAGCTCTAAAACAGAGTGAAACATACTTGATGAAGCTCTACACAGAGTGAAACATGACTTGATAAAGGTTCACAGAGTGAAACATGACTTGATGAAGCTCTACACAGAGTGAAACATGACTTGATGAAGCTCTACACAGAGTGAAACATGACTTGATGAGTCTACACAGAGTGAAACAAGACTGATAAAGCTCTACACAGAGTGAAACATTTATAAAGCTCTACACAGAGTGAAACATGACTTGATGAAGCTCTACACAGAGTGAAACATGACTTGATAAAGCTCTACACAGAGTGAAACATGACTTGATGAAGCTCTACACGATGAAACATGACTTGATGAAGCTCTACACAGAGTGAAACATGACTTGATGAAGCTCTACACAGAGTGAAACATGACTTGATAAAGCTCTACACAGAGTGAAACATAACTTGATAAAGCTCTACACAGTGAAACATGACTTGATGAAGCTCTACACAGAGTGAAACATGACTTGATGGAGCTCTACACAGAGTGAAACATGACTTGATAAAGCTCTACACAGAGTGAAACATAACTTGATAAAGCTCTACACAGAGTGAAACATGACTTGATAAAGCTCTACACAGAGTGAAACATGACTTGATAAAGCTCTACCAGAGTGAAACATGACTTGATAAAGCTCTACACAGAGTGAAACATGACTTGATAAAGCCTTACACGAGTGAAACATGACTTGATAAAGCTCTACCAGAGTGAAACATGACTTGATAAAGCTCAACACAGAGTGAAACATGACTTGATAAAGCTCTACACAGAGTGAAACATGACTTGATAAAGCTCTATACAGAGTGAAACATGACTTGATAAAGCTCTACACAGAGTGAAACATGATAAAGCTCTACACAGAGTGAAACATGACTTGATGAAGCTCTACACAGAGTGAAACATAACTTGATAAAGCTCTACACAGAGTGAAACATGATTTGATGAAGCTCTACACAGAGTGAAACATGACTTGATAAAGCTCTACACAGAGTGAACAGACTTGTTTAAAGCTCACACAGAGTGAAACATGACTTGATAAAGCTCTACACCAGAGTGAAACATGACTTGATAAAGCCTCTCACGAGTGAAACATGACTTTATAAAGCTCTACACAGATGAAACATGACTTTATAAAGCTCTACACAGAGTGAAACTACTTGAAAAGCTCAACACAGAGTGAAACATGACTTGATAAGCTCTATCAGGTGGAAACATGACTTGATAAAGCTCACACAGAGTTAAAAATAACCCTTTATGAAAGCCCCAACACAGAGTGAAACATGACTTGATAAAGCCTACACAGAGGAAAAATGACTTATAAAGCTCTACACAGAGTGAAACATAACCTGATAAAAGCTTTACACAAGTAAACATGACTTTATAAAGTCTTCACAGAGTATAAAATGACTTTATAAAGCTCTTACACAGAGTGAAACTTTACTTGATAAAACTCTTCACAGAGTGAAACATGACTTGATAAGCTTACACAGAGTGAAACATGACTTGATAAAGCTCTACACGCGTGAAAAATTGATTGATAAAGCTCTTCACAGAGTTTAAAATAAAGAGCTCAAAGCAGAAGCTTCACTGCACTTAATTCACTTGACGTGGCGGGGTGGTACCGCTGGAAGCGTCTGGTTCCAGGTTGGCGGAGGAGACCAACTGGAGTCCTTCTGCTGGGAAACTGGGAAACAAGCAGCCAGCAAAAGAGAGAGTCCGCACTCAACTCCTCTTTCCCGAGTGCGCAACTGGGAAATACCCCTCACAGCCACAGCAACATACTTCAAAGCTACAAGGATAAGTGAGACAATTAATATTACCCACTGTTTCTTTTCCGATATTTTTTTGACACTTAAAAGGCTCTTCCGTTTTTTTCGAAAGGGTTTCGAGCTTTCAACAGGAATTATTTAAAATCTTGTGTCAGCTATTTCGTTCAGTTTCTTGAAAATTCCTCTTATATTTCCTTCTTTTTGACTGTGATGATGGCTCTTGGGGATCTGGAAACTTGGGCGTATTAATAATATTTTCCTCATGGTACAACTTATTTCAGACCATGCTCACACCCTTGGGCATACTATATTTGAAGGGTTTCCCGTTTGTAAGCATTTCCCAAGCTTAGGTTAATTTTGTACCTGGATGTACCCACCTGTTTCCCCAACACCCAGGTACTCTTACTGTTACGTTGAGGGTTTTTGAGTCAAAGATCCTGGCTCGCCTCTTTACTGGGGGCCTACTTTCGTTGCACTCTCTCCCTGCTCCATGTGCTGTCATACCTTTTTCTTTAAAGCTTGTATGGGTTCCTGCCTTCCCTACTCACTTTCAGATTGTTCCACTTCCTGACACTCTGTGGCTGAAGAAATACTCCCCAACATCCCTTGCTGCTGCTCATCTGAGTCTCAACTTCAGTTGTGTCCCATTGTTGCTGTGTCCCCTTGTTTGCTGTGTCCCCTTGTTGCTGTGTCCCCTTGTTGTTGGTGTCCCCCTTTTTGTTGTGGGCCCTTGTTGTTGTGTCCCCTTGTTTGCTGTGTCCCCTTGTTGCTGTGTCCCCTTGTTGCTGTGTCCCCTTGTTGCTGTGTCCCCTTGTTGTTGTGTCCCCTTGTTGTTGTGGCCACTTGTTGTGTCCCCTTGTTGCTGTGTCCCCTTCTTGTTGTGTCCCCTTGTTGCTGTGTCCCCTTGTTGCTGTGTCCCCTTCTTGCTGTGTCCCCTTCTTGCTGTGTCCCCTTCTTGCTGTGTCCCCTTCTTGCTGTGTCCCCTTCCTGTTGTGTCCCCTTCTTGCTGTGTCCCCTTCTTGTTGTGTCCCCTTCTTGCTGTGTCCCCTTCTTGCTGTGTCCCCTTCTTGCTGTGACCCCTTCTTGCTGTGTCCCCTTCTTGATGTGTCCCCTTCTTGCTGTGTCCCCTTCTTGCTGTGTCCCCTTCTTGCTGTGTCCCCTTCTTGCTGTGTGTGTGAGTGTGTGTTTGTGTGTGTGTGTGTGCAAAACAGATTCCCAAACAATGACACTAAACCACATAAGATACAAACACAGTTCGAGGCCTTTCGCTTCCTGAATACATCCTTCATCAGGAGCAACACCAAGTTACAACAGACATACAGATGCTTATAAAATTTCTTGACAGTCGGTACCATACCCTCGAGGCTTCGGAGCCGGTGGATCGTCATCCATCAACTCAATGATCTATATTCGTGGCAACAGGAGAGATTTCGACCAGTGGGAAGAGATGGGTAACCCAGGTTGGGGCTACGATGATCTGCTCCCATTCTTCAAGAAGTCTGAAGACTACAGAGGAGGAGTAAGCCAGGAAGCAGGTGAGTGTACAAGTGTATATATATTTCTGGCGTTTGCAGTGCTTCTCTAATATAAATAATTGCTTTCTAGATAAATAGTCCAAGGCTATTTTTATTTCTTCAGAGGGGTACCATGGGTATGGTGGGCCACAGACCATAGAGAACAAGAGATGGAATTCGTCAATAGCTGAAACCTTCCTGAAGGCTGGACGGGAGCTGGGTTATGCTGAGTCTGACCCCAATGGACCAGAACAGATTGGTAAGTGTTTGAGATTGTTCGGTTGTTTATATGTCTCTCTGAGATGTGTATATCTCAGTGTATATACACTGAGAGGTGTATATCTTAGTGTATATGCACTGAGAGGTGTATATCTCAGTGTATATACACTGAGAGGTTGTCCTATCTCAGTGTATATACACTGAGAGGTTTTATATCTCAGTGTATATACACTTGGGAGGTGTATATCTCAGTGTATATACACTGAGAGGTGTATATCTCAGTGTATATGCACTGAGAGGTGTATATCTCAGTGTATATACACTGAGAGGTGTCTATCTCAGTGTATATACACTGAGAGGTGTATATCTCAGTGTATATACACTGAGAGGTGTATATCTCAGTGTATATACACTGAGAGGTGTATATCTCAGTGTATATACACTGAGAGGTGTATATCTCAGTGTATATACACTGAGAGGTGTATATCTCAGTGTATATACACTGAGAGGTGTATATCTCAGTGTATATACACTGGTAGTTTACATTAATCAGTATTTTAGGTATTTAAAGTATTCTTGACGGTGTGTACAGGTGACCTGCAGCCTTAATGACCCTGGTGTAGTAGAAATAGACTTTAAACACCAATTAACCAACCAACCAAGTCTTAATGCCCTCGTTTAGTAGATAGACTTTATAAAAACCCATTAACCAACCAACCAGTCTTAATGACCCTCGTGTAGTAGATAGACTTTAAACCGCATTAACCAACCAACCAGCCTTAATGACCCTCGTGTAGTAGATAGACTTTAAACCCCATTAACCAACCAACCAGTCTTAATGACCCTCGTGTAGTAGATAGACTTTAAACCCCATTAACCAACCAACCAGCCTTAATGACCCTCGTGTAGTAGATAGACTTTAAACCCCATTAACCAACCAACCAGTCTTAATGACCCTCGTGTAGTAGATAGACTTTAAACCCCATTAACCAACCAACCTGTCTTAATGACCCTCGTGTAGTAGATAGACTTTAAACCCCATTAACCAACCAACCAGTCTTAATGACCCTCGTGTAGTAGATAGACTTTAAACCCCATTAACCAACCAACTAGTCTTAATTACCCTCGTGTAGTAGATAGACTTTAAACCCCATTAACCAACCAACCAGTCTTAATGACCCTCATGTAGTAGATAGACTTTAAACCCCATTAACCAACCAACCAGCCTTAATGACCCTCATGTAGTAGATAGACTTCAAACCCCATTAACTAACCATCCAGTGAATATACCAGTATATACAAAGATATATACGCTGGTGGCAGTTTACAGGCATATAACAATAATTAGCTCTCTATTATTATTATTATTATTATTATTATTATTATTATTACTATTACTGCGTTGCAGGTTTCTCTATAATAGACGTTACAGCCAAGAATGGAAGGAGATGGTCAACAGCTGATGCCTTTCTCAAACCTGCGGCACTCAACTCTCCCAACCTTCACGTCGTTCTTAATGCCCATGTAACCAAGGTATACTTTATACGTACCCTTCATAGGTACATTTTTCTAAACGTCTTAACCACCTCAACAACCCCTCCTCAACATCACCTCAATAACCCCTCCTCAGCCCTCTGGATAATACTTTTAGTAACCCCCATCTCCCTAATCTGTTCTAGGGTTCCAGTTTATTTTACTCTTAAAAATTGTACTTTTTCTCCCCCCCCCCCCCCCTCCCCCCCCCCCATC